GCTATGCTTTTATTAGAGGCACTGTAAAAATCAAACAAGAACAAAACCCTAGTATCTTATAGAAGGAGGTATAAAGGAATGTATAAGAACAGCAGAAGAGTAAAAAAATAGTGGGAGAGAGGAGGAATTGATAAACGGGTGTCATTTCCTACTTGGTTATTGCGAAACTTGTTCTTTCCAGTACAGGGTGAACAAAGAAAATGTTTTTTAAGAGCCTTGAGGAGGCTGAATACTGAAACAATGCAGATTATTCCACAGTGGCTACTTTGTTTCCTTGGTGAAGAAGACTGGTTGGAGCAGAATGCACTGCTGTTGCTCTGTCTTTTCCATTAGACTAGGCTGCAGAAAGCTTTCCCTTCAGTGGGAGCTGACTTGAGCAGTCAACAGCAGTGAGGATTCCCCTTGCTAAAGGAAATGGCCAGATAAATTACAGCAAGCATGGCTTTCTGTTACATTTTCCAGAAGTCATCTTGGGAGCTGCTGGCTTTAGGAGCAGATAATGGCCAGATAAATTACAGCAAGCATGGCTTTCTGTTACGTTTTCCAGAAGTCATCTTGGGAGCTGCTGGCTTTAGGAGCAGATATGTCTAAGAAAACAGCTCTCTTGGTCCGTTCTCTGGATCAGACATTTTAGTGGTCTGGAACTGTAGAAATACATCTGCTTAAGCTCAGTAGACAAATCTAAGTGAAGCTATTGCGATGCCCAATACTGAGAAAAGAAACTTGTTTTCATTGTTGGAAAGAGAAGACAGACTTAAGAAGGCAAAAGATATATGAGAAGATAAAATTAATTCTAAACTTTGCATAAGTTTGTATACCTAGTAGTAAATAAGAGGTTCTGACAGGCATTTCAACTTTTATACATCAGCCCTGCAGATTAAGCAAAAACAGAATTTTAACAGGATTACTCAAAACCCCAGTGCAGTATTTGAGAACCTGGAAAGAGTAGGGCTTCAAACTCATTTCGGTAATTTTTAATAAGGATGTTGGCTTTAACTGCTCAATACCTACACAGAATAGAGATGGATGTTTGGTTTATATGCATCTCCCACATTGTCTTCCATTAAAACATGTTACAGGCTAATAGTCTTATTAGAGATGTGTAAGATTTCCGCAAATATTGCTTGAAAGTGTCTGGACACCAGAGTTCAAAACCAGGTCTTATACAGTTCCTCCTAGATTCCTTCTGTAGCCTGTCCCCTTGCACTGCTGACTTTGCCCTGTCCTGGATAAAGGACGGATTGAGTGCTATGTCAAATCTGGTAGTGAGAGAAGTGTGAGAGGTCTGTGCCCTTAATCCCACTGGTCCTGCTGGGAAGAATCCTTGTCTTTCCCGACAGCTTGATAACCCTTCAAATGAGCCACTGTTACAAAGAAAACAAACTGAGTCTGTCACTGTTGAGTTTTCACTGATACTGAACTCTGCCTCTGAAAAAAAAACCTGTTAAGTGGCTGCTGGCGAAACGTAATGTTGCTGAAGGTGCCATTAATACCATAAAGCTTCCAGGTGGAAGCTGATCAAATGGGAGGTAGCTCTCAGAGAAACAGCCCATTACGTTTAGCTCCTCTTTGCAAAATTAGCAACCTGATGTAGAGTGGCTGCTCAGTGGCTGCTCATGTGTTATACCTGCTTTTTCTCTGTGGGTCTGCTCTGGCTTCATATCTGAGTTTGCTTTTCCCATGTCTCTACAGCAATGAAAGGAATTATTTGAGCTTTAAAAAAAAAAACCACAAAACTATAAAGTTGTATTACATTTCACATCTAACAAAAAGTTCTAGTCAGATATTCTGAATCTTCTCCTGTAATTAATTACAAGGAAGGAAAAAAATACAATCTCTGTCAGCAGGAAGACAGGTGTATAAATGTAATCAAATGTTATGCAAACCATTTGATACATTTTTAAGTGCCAGTGGTTTGAATTGATTTGACAAGCATGTGAAATGCAAATGATCCTGCCCACACATTTTTAGAATAAATTAAAATACACTGAACATCATATTTGTTAGTCTTGTTCTAATAGGAAGACTATGTGCTCTGAAGTGTATATGTGTGTATTTAAGTGGTCTCCTCGGACGGTAAGATCAAAGGAGAGATAGACAACAGGTTAGCAAAGGCATATAGAGCTTTCAGAAAACTCCATAAAAGAGTTTGGCTAAATAAACACCTGAAGAAAAGCACAAAGATCAGTGTTTACAGAGCCATTGTGCTGTCTACTCTTTTATATGGATCCGAATCATGGGTCATCTACCGCCACCACCTGCGACTCCTAGAATGCTTCCATCAACGCTGTCTGTGTACAGTCCTAAACATCCAGTGGTCAGATTATGTGACTAATATGTCTGTTCTAGAACAGGCAGCACTTACAAGCATTGAGGCCATGTTGCTGAGAACACAGCTGTGTTGGGCAGGACACGTCTCCAGGATGGAGGACCACCATCTTGCTATATGGTGAACTTGCCACCGGCTGCCGCAAGAGAGGAGCCCCAAAGAGAAGATACAAGGACTCCCTGAAACAACGTCTCAGCCTTGGCCATATTGATCTTCATCATTCGTCTATTCTGGGCTCCAGTCAGGAGGCCTGGAGACACACTATAACGCTGCTAATGCTTTTGAGAAGGCACACAAGATCACTCTCGAGGAGAAAAGACAACGCAGAAAGAATTGTGTCTTGCCGATACCATCCAAGGAGTCTTTCTGCTGTGCCTTTTGCAACCGGACTTGTCTGTCTCGCATTGGCCTCTTTAGCCACCAGCGTGTTTGTAGCAAATGTGGGTAGAGCCCTTCCCAAATCTTCGTTCGCAAAGCCTAGCCATGATGATGGCTATTTCACCTGCTCTGAGCTGAATCCCAGCTGCTTTCTACCCAGTGTTCCATTTTTCTTACTTTGACCCTCTTCTCTTTCAGGACTCAGTTAGATGTGTTGTCATTAAAAGTGAGCTTTACTTTTAAGATTTTTTAATAAAATATTTACCTTGTGTCTTAGATAGAGATTTTCATGTAAAGAAGTAGTCTCTTCAGACTTGGCTCATTGTTCTCCTAGAGCTCTTTGAGATCCCAGAGCGCAGGCTGAAAAACTGGCCAGATCCATTTGAGAATAAGAGCCTGAAAGTGTCCCTGCATTGTCCCCATGACTGAAAGCACGCAAATACTTCTAGTAGTCTTTCTTTCCTAATGTGAAGAGATTTTTGGAGTGCTGTGAAGCATTTTGCCTTGATTTAATCATTCAGACGACATTTGAAGCCTGATAACTATTTTTCATGCCTTGAGGAAGCTGTATGATATAGCTGGTAGCACTTCTTTTAAATAGGTGTGTGGACTAGGGGAATAAACATAGGACATAAACTTCAGCGTTTAATTTCCATCTCCACTCCTTCTTGTGGCAGTCCTGTACACATAAAATAAGTAAAATTTTTTTAGCTATCTCACAACTTCCCTCTTTTATGTTGATAAATATATTTTTGATGGACTGTAGAGTTTAAATTTTAAATAACATAAGTACTTAAGGCAACATCCCAGAGATTGTCACTGTCAATTCAAAGTTAAAATGTTAGTCTCTAAATTTTTTATACCCTGCCAAATCTAGTAAATCTTATGATTCACAGTCAATTAGTCTCTCCATCTTAAGAGACTAATAATGCTTTTTCTCAAAGGAGATTTAAGCTGTTTTTCCTTAATACTTGTACTGCACTTTGAAAGTATTAGTTGTATTTAGATGTGACCTAATGTTATTTTAGTGTCTCTTTTAAGCCCCAACATGTGTAAAGGGTCAGAGAGGAACATTTCTGAGGCAAGGAAAAGCATCTTTTCCATTGGGTTTCCTGGCTGTTGGAGAGTGAGGGAGAGAGCATCTAGAGTGCATACAGTGGTAAAATAAGAAGGTATGTGAGGAAGAAGTGTGTCTAGGCAGATGTATTTTCGGTAGTGAGAGAAGTAAGAGAAAATAAATTTTGAAGATGTAAACTTATTCAAAATTGTCTCCTTTTGTCCAAGCTGAACATTCTGCATTTTACTGTGCAAATATTTCAAAACCTCTGGAAGAACCCCAAATTCAATCTTTACAAGTAGATTTCTTCTCTTGTAACTTCCTACTAGGCACAACTTCTTTAACATCTTTGTGAAAATTAACCAATTCTGGACTAAATTTGAATTTCGTCTCTTTTTTAAATTTGTTTTAGGTGTTTAAGTCCCATTACTTCTTTGCTACCTGTTTTGACTGTCATATTTCTATGGATATTTTTGGAAATTGAAATAGCAATTTTCAAACTAGAGGCCTTAAACTGTGATTTGTTCCTGAGGTCTCTTAAAATTCTTCAGACGGCTTGTCTATATTGCTTTGTATTTTGAAAAAATAAATCTCTTCATATTTTCCTTTTTATATGTGTACATAAACTTAAAGATCAGCTGGATTGATTTATTATTTCATGCTTTCCAATCCATGAAATCTACCTGTCTGCATCGAGTCTTTGGAAATTTTCATAAAGTGAAATCTATTATTGTTTATTTTGTTTAGAATATGGTTGGTTTTGTAAAATGTTATGAAGATCTTTATTTTTGCCCTACAAAGCCTCTATAGACATCATGACATAAAAACTTCTAATTTAACTCAGTGTTTTGAATGCATCTTTCTTGTCTTATGTATTTATCTAGGTTGCTTTCACAGTTCTGTTTGATTTAGAAGCTCTCCTGAAGATCTGGTGTTTGGGTTTCACAGGATACATCAGCTCATCTCTTCACAAGTTTGAATTGCTGCTTGTAATTGGAACTACTCTCCATATTTATCCAGACCTCTATCATTCTCAATTTACATATTTTCAGGTATGATCATCTACTTTTACTTTTTTCCCTATATATCACTTTAAAACATTAACCCATCAACATTTCACACAAATGTCAATTTTCTCACAGTATTGACTCATTTTGAGAATAACTTTAAGATAACAAATCTCTCTGTTCTTAACTGTGTTCATTGGGTGGATTTACAGAAATAGGATTCTTTCTAACTTTGCTGAGAAATCCTTTCTGTTTTCAGTAACTCCCATTTCTTATCTGAGCTGCACTGTTCAGTAAGTTCTGGATTAGTTTCTTCACTGTCTTTCATTGAGCCTTGACCCTGTATACAGCTGTTTACAACATTGCCTTCCTGTAGTGTCCACCACTGTTTTCCTGGCTGGTCTCCCGGAGTTCTCAGTACACTTGCTGTTGCTCCTCCAAATCATCTCTGTGACAGTCACATGCCTAACTAAGAGGCTCTGCTCCAGTTACTGTGGGTCTTCTGAGGTCATTTCTCCAGAATCTTCTTAGAGTTGGGTTTTAAGCTCCTCAGCCATTCCTTATCTAGAGGGAAAGTGCGTTTCTTGAGGCTGTTCCTACATTTTCACTTTGTGGAAGAGTGGGAAAGAGAGACAAAAAAAAGACTTGTTAATTCAGGCTTCTGATTCTGCCTGTCAGTCAGCCCAACTAATTCCCCATTCATCCTCCCTGAAGTGCCTGGGATTGCTCCAGTTTTGGGAGAAAGCACTGGGATTTATTACAATGTGTTATATTCTATAGTGCTAAAGAAAGGGAATTTTAAGTATATATATAATAAAGGATTCATATCATTATTCAACAATGGATTGGCATGGTGAATAAGTAATAATTAATAAAAGAAAATAATAAATTGTCCAACAGAGTCCTGTCAATCAATTTGATTAGTTATAGTGACACATACTATGAGTACTCCCCAAGTGTGGGTTGAAGTATAATGGTCTTTTCAGATTTCTGCAAATGTCATCCTGTATTTTTTCTGAATGATTCTACAAACCTGCTCAAGAAAGCTTTCAGGTGAAAAAAATCTATTTTGCTTTCACCTGATATTATTTGAAGACTTTTAGATCATTATAGCATTGATTTTGCTGTCCAAATATGTAAAATATGGTTACTCAGTGCAGCATGGTACATCTAACCTGCAAGAAAGGATGATCTGTCAGGACTATCCCATTGCACTGCTGTGTCAAAAGCACAGAGGGAACATAGCTGGGAGATCTCAGTTAAAGAAGTTAGCAACTTGGTTAATAGTTGGTCCATATTTATTAGGGAAGAGTCCACTTATGACTGGTGGTTTCTTTCTAAGAATTTTAAGTATAACTTATGAACATTTTGGACTAAATGGGGAACATCATCACTAACTTATAGGATTGAAAGTGTAATTAAAATGTAGCCAGATGTTGATAATAAAATAATAAGTATTTTCTTTTTAATGGATTTAATTAGTTTTGTGGAGCTGAGGTGGTGTTTGTTTAATTACAACGTGCTAGCTTTTATGACAGAAGATTCCAAGATGTGATTTTTTTTTTCCAGAATGTATGAAAGACACATATTTTACAAGCAAAAATACCTGCTACACTGAAAGATTTGGGTTTTATTTTGCAATCCAAAACCCCTAAGAGGCAAAGGATAGGAAGGTTGAATACCTTTGATGTCAACTTGCAAGGGAGGTACACACTGTATTCCTCTGCAATTAAGTTCTGGGCAAGCTAGATAACACATTTTCAAATCAACCAAGGTCAAAAAGTCTTTTTCGCATGAATACATCTTGATGTTAGGCAGATTTCCAGGCCTTTAGGTATTCATGATGACAGGTTAAATGTGTTCCTTGTCAGTGAATAAAACAGATTACTGGAAACAGAAGTCTTACTTGACACATTCCAGGATAGCGAGCAGATTTATTGTTTGGCATGTCTAGTCTTCCTTGCATATATTTCAGTTTGCATTATTCATTGGTCTTTACCATTACCTTTTGCCAACACATCATTCACTCTTTACTACACTGGCTACTGTCCACTGTCCCTCTTATCTTTCTTGCATTCACTGTGCATTTATTCAAAACACTTTGGAAAGTCCTCTGTGAAAGACTACAGCAAAGAGCTGTTACATGGCAATAATCCATAGGGCACAAAACTAGTGGAGAAATGACAGATTTTGCATATTTCTGCAGAGATCTGTAATGAACCAGCATAAAAGGGAGAGATTTAAACAGAATTTGACCTATAGTGGACTGAAGAGATGGTACTGTATTTCTGCTTGGGGAAAATATGGCTGAGTCATTTTCTGAATAACTATCATACCTTGTAGGAGATGCAGCCATTCTTTGTAACAAAGCTGTGGTTCCTCTTTTGTATTATTCATTTTGATTTGTTCTTTAACATATCTTTATATTTAATCCAAATAGTGCGTCTTCCACAGCTCCCAAATTTAATACAATTTGCAATCCAATTACACAAAATGCATAAATGTTCATTAGAGTGTACTTTTGTTAAATTCAATTTGTCACCTAATGAAAATAAATGAATAAACCAAATAGTATCAATAAGATTAGTGTGTTGCTTAAAGGTCAATAAAGTTCTCCAAAGAAAGGGGAAAAAAGTAAGGCAGATAATTGCATTTATCTAAAACAGAATACTGACTAGCATGAAATCTTCACCTCACTGGGGTCTGTATTGAAACCAGTATTGATGGGAACAGAGCTAACATTTACACCATGAGTAAATCTTGTAAGTAAGAAGGCACCATATTTACATATTCATAGTACTTGGAAATCTCCCTCATCTCGCTGTCTGCCTTGGTATCCAGTTTCATGTAATGTAACCACAGTACCTATATGAAAGAAAGGACTTTATCTCACTTTGTGCTAATGTTATGAAAGTCTAGTCTAACCTCTGATCTGGCACTCTTGTTTACCACTGAAGACAGTGGAGACTCATCCCATCTCACACGAGGGATCTCCTATGTTTGGAATAAGTTGCTCTCTTGAGTCGACTTTCTCTCTCTCCCTCCCCTTTTGCAGTAAAGTCTAAATGACAAGCATATTCTGCATACCTTACAAATGGGTAGGGAGATGAGTTTCATGCAAAATCCAAAGGTGTACACTATTTAGCAAGCTACAAAGTACAGTGATCTCATTCTGTGAACAACTGTCATACTTATTTTCTCTCCAAAAACAGCATAGTAATTGTATTTGACTTGCACATAGTTCAGCCAATAACTGCACTGTAATTCCTACCTTTTGATTGCAATATGATTCTTGTGGAAATCCAGATGATACCTTGGGCTAGAGGGTCTTTTTCTCCCAAAGAACTGCAGAATCTCAGTTGCCCCATATGCTGCTGTCTGTTGTCTTCAGCAACTACTGTTGTTGCCACTGCCTCTTGTTGATACTGATATTCATGTCACTGTGCCACCATCAGTAGCAGAAATAGGAGAATAAACAGCTCTTTCAAGTAGACTCAGCAGTAAATGGGTCAGGAGTTCCACACATGATCAAAGTTTTGCTGCAAGGTATCAGATATGTCAGTGGCACACATTGCTTTTTCCTCTGATACTGAGAAATGCCACCCAAAATTTCCCATGTTATATATAATATGAAATAGCAAAATATGTTCATTACCAAATTTGCTAGGTTACATAGTACACAATGCCAAACAATTTTGCCTTTGATCACTGAAATGGAAAGACTTGGCAGTTCTTTATGTGAATATGTAACCTGGTACAACAAACATTATAGAATCATAGAAAAATCTAGTTTGGGAGTGGCCTTTCAAAGTAATCTCATCTAGCTGGCTGCTCAAAGCAGAGGTTTCTTCAAAGACTGTTCAGGAGCCTGTCCGCTTAGAATAAGTATGAATTTTTAGAAGTGATGCTAATCAAACCAGAGCAATTTACTAGCACTGCAGTAGATTCTAAGTTGCTAAATCTAGACTGATGTGCTTGGACCCCTGCCTGGAGCCATTCTTATATTTGCTAACACACTATAAGCCTCCATCGGTCTCTAATTCCACATTACATTCAGATTTACTATCTGTCATATGTTTTGCCTATGTCTTTGTTCCCATTGTTACCTCAAAACCAGCTTTACCCAATTCCATTTCTGCAATGACTCAGTGATCTGCGAGTTGTTTACAGCCTTGGGGTCCTTCAGTCCTCCCATGCCTGTACTATCAAGACTTCTGCTGTCATCCCATGCCTATATGCTTAAATGCTGCTTATGTTCTGTGTCTTATCTTTTTAACCTAACACAACTTGTCATCTGTTACAAGTGATGTCAACCTAATATTTATTGGACTACAGGGCTGCAAGTCCATTTTTGGCCGTGACTATCTGATATTTTGAAAAGTTTTGATTAATGTGGTAATCAAATCATTGATACAGTTGTATTTTCTTTTTCTGTGCAGGTTCTTAGAGTAGTTCGGCTTATAAAGATTTCTCCTGCTTTGGAGGATTTTGTTTACAAGATATTTGGACCAGGAAAAAAACTTGGGAGTTTGGTAGTATTTACTGCCAGCCTGTTAATCGTAATGTCAGCAATCAGTTTACAGATGTTTTGCTTTGTGGAAGAACTGGATAGATTTACAACCTTTCCACGGGCAAGTATAAAAAGCATTACTCATTAATTACTCAAAATGATTACTCATTACTTGTTATTATTTTCTTATCATTGATATTTTCTTATCATTGATGGTGAACTTGGCAGTGTTGGATTAATGATTGGACTTGATGATCTTAAAGGTTCTTCTATCCTAAATAATTCTGTGATTCTGTCGTGGTTTAACCCAGCCAGTAGCTAAACTTCACACAGCCACTTGTTCAATCCTCCCTCTGACTGGGATGGGGGAGAGAATTGGGAAAAAAATTTAAAAAAGCAAAATTCATGGGCTGAGATAAAGAAATTTTAGTACGACAGAAACGGAAGGGAAAACGATAATGATAAAAGCATTAGAATATATAAAATAAGTGGCACAAATTGCCATCGATCATTATCCGTTGACCGATGCCCAGCTAGTTTCCGATCTGCAGCCACCAGCCAGCTTTCCCCCTAGTTTATATGCTGACCATGATGCCATAGAGTATGGGATATCCCTGTGGTCAGTTGGGGTCAGCTGTCCCAGCTGTGTCCCCTCCCAGCTCCTTGTGCAGCCACAGCCTGCTCACTGGTGGCGTGAGGTGAGAGGCAGAAAAGGCCTTGTCTCTGAGCAAGCACTGCTTGGCAGTAACTAAAACATTGGAGTGTTATCAACATTATTCTCATCCTAAACCCAAAATATAGCATTGTACCAGCTACTAGGAAGAAAATTACCTCTACCCCAGCCAAAACCAAGTCACATTCTGTCATATTTTTTATTACATTAGTGATCTTCCTTTCCTTCTGAGAACCATGAAGCAGTTTATCTCCGTATGTATAGATAAAAGAATTGTATTTTCTGGGTATAACAGTCTTCCTGTAGTCCTTCTGTAGTGAAGGCCGTCTTTCTTTGAGTGAGGTGTTCTATTTCTGCTGTCAAGGGAATATAGAGAAATTTTACCTATGCACTGTGATGGTGACACAACAGCATATGGCTTAACAGTACTCTAGCATGTTACAGAAAGAAGATTCATGCCCACAAGTGTGAATATTAACCACAAAATTTATATAAAATATGTCTATACGTGATTTATATCTTTATGTTGTTCTTGATTAGTACAGGAATGCTTGTCTTACACAGGGTTATAAAATCAGTCTGCATTGACAAAACAAGTGTTTGCCTTTTGGGTATAAATAATGGATATTTATGAGCATTACGTTAATTCAGAACAGAACACTGAAAATCAGTGGAAATTGGAGCTAATGTATTTATTGAAGCACACTGTTCTGAATGAAAATACTGCCATTTCTTTAATAGTGGATTAGACTGAGTGTACATGGATTGATTCCAGTGACAATTTATTTGTTTCTGTCATTCCAGCTTGGTTATCTAATGTATCTATTTTAGTGAAAGTGCATTGTTTGGAACAATTAAATAACAATGAATAAGGCAGCCTCAAGGGTCATGCATTTAGCAAACAAAATGGCTAAGCAGCAATTTATAATTATCAACCTGAACTTGATGTATGGGAAGCTGACCATCAAATGTGAGACAAAAAATGCCTACCCACTGGGAATAATGTAGCACCATGCTTTCTATTTTGGAAAATGTGCTTAGAAAAGCATCCAGTAGAATTCCATATAATTAATTGTTTAAATGCTGAAGAAAGGAAAAAAAAAACCACACACACAAAAAAAAAAGCTTAAGCTCTTCTAATGTGTGACCAACTCCCACTTGTAACTTCTGAAAAAAACCTCCAACTTCAGATTTCAAATCACCAAGGAATTTTGTTTTAGAATTATTTTATTATTTATGCAAAATGGCAATGGAAGTCCTCAAAGAGTTATTGTAGTATGATTAAAATAAGACAGATTCACAAACACCTGCACATTTTGACTAGATAAATTGGTATCTGAGTAAAGATCCACTTGCAATGAAAAATTACCAATATATAGCGATACATTAATAAAGTTTTGGATTATTTTAAGCATTTTAATCTGTTACCATTTAAACTTCAATAAGAGCTTCTAGAATATTGAATTTTAACAGATATATGAATATCATAAATATATGTTTGAAGAGTGAGAAAATATTCTCTCCAGCAAATTATACATTTTTTTTACAAACAGAAAATATCTTTACTTGTTTCCTCTTTTCTTACTTAAGTATTGGAAAATCAGAAGACCTGTTACCAACAATAAAGGAGTGTTCCAACAATACTGAATTGAAAATTTTTTAATGTTTTTCATATGATGGCCAGAAGTAAAAGTCTCTCCTTATTTTTTATTTATTTTTTATTTTTATACGTATTCACGTTGTTATGATTGTTTCTGAAGTGTATAATTTACAGTATATGGCTTCTTTTTGCAGTTTTATACTGAAACATCTCTTAATAGGTTTAAAGTCAATGAAAATTTTGAACTCAAAATTTGTGATTGATTATGTGAATAGTGGTGTCCCTCCAAAGGAGTGTGACTTCCTAGAAAAGGCTGGGGAGATCTCACATTTTCTGCCCTGAATAAAGACCACTGAATCAGTTTGCAATAAGACAATTAAAATTATTTTCAAAACATGACTGAAGACGTACTATATAAAGTAGATACAATATGAGATCTGCAATACCAGAATTTGCTAAGATAAATTTTTAGGAGCTTACCCTCAGAGAAGAGCAAACCTAAAAATTCCAGCATTGTTACTGTGGCATTTTTTTCGTTACAAATACAGAGAGGACAAGCATGATAACAAAAATGGTGGTGACATTAGAGGCTAAATTTTGAGTTTGTACAGTAAAGTGTTTTCTACACTGAAACAGACAAAACCTACAATCATTTTGAAACTCTAAGTGCTTTATAAAAAGGCACAGTATGGGTTTTGGAACAAGTAGACCTCCTCCTTTTGCTAATGCCTCTAAATTGCATGTTTTCACATGGTTTCCTGATGACAGTGAATAGGCACAAGCTCAGTGTTGCCATGGCTACTAATTTCACCCTTCTTCTGGCCATTACTTCTTTTGGCCCAATGGACTGGCTTTCTATCTAATACCAAGTATAAAAATATAGATGTTTGCTATAATGTTTTTAACCCATCTGCTCTCTTATTTTTGCATGTCTTCTTGGGCTGCACGTATTGAACCATGAGAAAGTACAGGGGTGGCTGGGCCTCTGAAGAAGGAATGGGAGGGGAAAACTGTTCAGAAGCACAAGTGTAAGAAGGCCACTAAAAAAATTCATTGTATGGAGAACAAAACACATTGTTAGTGTCTCTGACTTCCTGGTATCTCTTGGAGTTTGGGGCCATATGCTGACTGCTCTGTATCTCAGGTTACAAAGCTGGGAATGCTACCTTTCTTTTAAATGGGTCATTACAACATGAAAGCCAGGCCCAACTGATCTCAGCAGCAAAAATCCTCCAGTCTTCACAAAACCAGATCTTTGCTGCTAGCTTTAAGCTTGGAGAACGTTCAAGATATGAAATATTAGCTCAACCTAAGCAACATCAATTTGAAAAGTTAAACAATGTAGTCTTAATTCTCTGATGCAGTTAAAATCTTAGTATGACTGCCACATTTTTACAGGACAGCTACTCTTCTCTCAGTGCATTACTGCACATTCATGACTGTGTTAGGAGGAAAACATAAGTTTATGGTGGTAGAACAGATTGCAAGGAAGTTATAGCAATGTTCTAAATCCCTTTAATTTAATTTGCAGAAAAAATCCCACTGATTGTAGAACAGCTTCCATGAATATGGCCATTGGGATTTGTCCCCTACAAGCTCCAGTTACAAGACAAGTACATTATAACTGTTAAGTAGTAATTTGTGTGGCACCACCCCTGTAATAGTTGGACAAGATACCAGAACTGGTGCTTTGGCTCATATATTCTACCAAACTTTTGCCAATCTTGTACTATAAATAAAAAGGTAGTTTGACTTCCATCATCAAAACAGCTCATTAAGTAATAGGGCATAAATACTCAAAGAAATCGACAGTCTTTTCTATAACACAAATTAATGCAGAAAATCACCATTTGCATAAATCTCTAAGTCTTGTCTTCACAGATGTTGATTCTGTCAGCTAGTTGCATTTCAAATTAATTTTAAAATAAACAGTGGGAAGTCTATCTTTCAGCTAAAAATAACTTGCTCCAAAGGAGATTGCTAGGTGCAAGGCGCATACTCATTGTGCACTGCCTTATTTACTTAAAACTAATTTTTTTTTCATAAATGGTATAATAAAATACTTAAATTATATTGAAAGATCATTTTATATAACTATGTGCTTAATGGACAACTGGTTTAAATGGAAGATTAGATTTTTATGATGTTCAAAGAATATCTTCTCCACATTAATCTAGTACTTATATTAATGAGAGGTCACAGTATTGGAGGTATCTTTACACCTTGAAGAATTAAATAAAATATATATTTTTTAAAAGCATTAAAATATTGGAATTCACTGTGATTCAGAAGAAAGGATACTGCACTGGTTCATTTACCCAGTCCCTCAGGTGTTTTTAAAACCAACAGTGGGGTATGTTACTTAATGCAGTGCCCACCTTATATTTCAGCAAGGAGTGCCACACCAGTCAGGTACGACTGCCACTCCAGAGGTGCTCTGAGTGCAGGGAAATGACAGCTGCCTGGTTTAGCTTCACCTCCCCATTACGAAGGGAACCTGAGACTTGAGAGGCAGTGCTGAGCACTGATGGGGTCATTGTCTTCTTCATCCTCAAGCACCACTGGCAGCTGTAAAGGAGGCTGATTTTTCTGCTTCCTTCATGCATGCTCAGCTGGCTACACAAGGCCTCTCCTAGATAAAGATCGCAAATGCTTCCTTCTCTGCATTTTTTCCATGGGGAGAAAATTATTTGTTGTAAGAAAATGAATCAGTAATAAGAGTTTGTATTTTGCACAGTGTAAAGAGTCCGTGTGCACGGCTGTAAGGAAACACTAATTTGAAGGGAGGATCTTGGATTCAGGTTGGCAGGATGCTAGTTAAGGCCATAGTTAAGCAACATAAAGTAGAGGGCACTGTGTAAATTCCAGCCATCATGTTTAGTCTCTCCTAATACATGATATACCAAAAACTTTAGCCACCATAAAGAATTTACAAAAAAAGTAGTTGTGAGCAGTTTTCTCTGCTGCTTCTAGTTCATGATAGCCTTTGTTCTCTGTGGGATCTATATGTTCAAAAGAAAGGTTGGGACTTTACATTTGGTCAAGATGTTGCTGATGTAAAAATTAAAGTCTGATGTTTAACTTCTCTCCCAGTGTGTGTGATTGCTCACTTGGATGCCTTAAGCTGTTCCGTGTACATCTTAGCTTCACTTTTGTGAGTAATTTGGACTTGTAGGCTTAAGCATCTCTGAAAATTTGATTAGTGTGAGTTAATTCTGAACAGCAACTGTAAAAATAGCTCTCAAACTCCTTGGTCTTAACCTAGCAATGTGTTTATGCTTCTGCCTGCTTCAGAATGCCACAGAACATATCAGCAATAAAAAAACAAGTTGGACTCTGGCGAGATGCTTTTTTTGTGAGAGTCAGCAGGCAAATTTTTTACAAACCCTTGAGTATCTAAATGTTTGTGACCCCTCTAACAGAGTAAAAAATTCACAATTCTTCCTCTGAACATGACCTAGAGGCAACATGATCCAATTTTTGTACTTTAAAATATGTATTAATTAGACAGAGGAGAAAAAGCTTTATTCCTAGGATCCTTATCAGTGGTCAATAAAAGAATGGACAGACAGTGAGTATTAGTGGCCTTCTGATGCTGTTTAGTTGTTAACTTTCTTTCTGCTTCCAGAAATCCCTCTCTGAGGCAATCCCTGGGCATGGGCCATTCGCTTAAGAGTTGGACTCGATGATCCTTGTGGGTCCCTTCCAAGTGGGAATATTCTGTGATTCTGGGAAATTGTTCTCTCCAGCTGGGCACTCCAAAACTCCTTTTTTGCAGTGATTGCATAACAAGATGCACTGAATTAGATTGTCCCTGCCTTGCCCAGCCCTGTTACAGCATGCTTTGTACTTGCAGGCCATCGTTTCAAATTTTAAGCAAAAAGCATACACCCTTGATTTCATGATGCAGAAACAGAATGTAGTGAGTCATGCCACATCCTTCTTATTATTTCAGATAGTTGGAACCAGCTCCTTTCACCAAATATTACTGGTGTGTTGCACCCATAGGGACCTTACGTAGACCACAACCAAGTGCTGTATGTATGCACATGGACGGTCTTCTCTAGAGTAAATTAGCCTTCACTGCAGGTGAGAAATCACATTCTGGAGTGGCCTCCCTTAAGGGTGTAGGTGTAACCTTAAGAGTCGTGTTTGCATTGGAAGAAACTGCTTAGAGAAGTCATTGTTTTGTTTGAAAAACTCTGCAAACTTGATAAGGAGCCCAAGCAAAGTTGCCTGTAGTTTATAATAGGAATATAAAACTGAAGTCTCCCACCATTATTTTTGCCAGCAGCTTTAAAAATTAATTAGAACTCATTTTGTTGTTTCCCAAGCACATAAGTTTATATACCTACATGTTTTCAGCTTTTCAAGCATGCATTTTGACTTAGGGTAAATTGATGTGAATAGCTCTCTGGGTACTGTTTTCTCACAGGTTTGGCAAGAAGAATGCTGTTCTCTTTGTGCCAGTGCATTAATGTGTTAATCTGCTGTTGCTGTGAGTGTCAGGCACACTGAGCACAGACCTAATATATCTTTATAACATCTTGAATTATAGGAATCCTGTTAGGTGTAAGCTGCATTGTTAATGTCTTCAGTTCCTAACACTTTTTTGTTATGCATAAATTTCAGTAAGATACCAGCTTTGATCCTGTCTGGAAAGAGAGCACTTTTGATGTTAGGCAAAAGCAAAAGAAACCTGTGCAATAGTTTGGCCTCATTGAGACAGTTAAGACTATCAAGATCCACACTTCACTTTGATACTATAGTCCAACTTCTGTTTCCTAGGCAGCCTGCAGTCCTCTGTAGCTGTGTAGGATGTATATGCTCATGTTGAGTTCGATTCTGGTCAATGCTGTAGGCTCCAGTTGGGGTTCCAAAGGTCTAAAGCATCTGGGTTCTAGATTTATCTGCTTTCATATGCTCCTATCACCAAATGAAGTTGTTTGAAACATTTCCATTATTTACTCTGTTTCTGACTTGTATGTCTGGTCTGAAGGGATTTGAAAATGTTACAGGAACAGTTCCACAAAGAGTGCTATTTACAAAATGTAGAGGAACAGGCTGACTGGCTAAATCAAGTGCAAGTACTGAGACCTTGCCTTTTGTTGGTCAGTCTCATCTGTGGGGTGCCTCAAATGCTTCTACTATTAAGATTACATAAAAGTGTGGTCACATTTAACTATAACACTTCATTATAAGTATATTCATAACGAGGTAACATGGGAGAAATAGCATAATCAAAAAATCACAATACAGTATAGCATTCAAAACAATAATATCTGATGCTCAGGATCTTTCTCTTTTGTTTTTGCAACCCTGAAGGAAACCAAAAAGCTCTTCATATGGGCTAATGGAGCTAGGACTATGTTACAAATTGCAGTTTACAGTTCAATGGTCAAGCTATTGATTTCTCCTTTAGCTCATGAATAGCGTTTTGCTTGGCTTTAAAAGTTGAAATACATTTGTTAAGGTTTAAAAAGCAAAACAAAACAGGTGTTCTGCTCTGTTAAATTAACTTTAGGAATGTGTCAATATAACCATATTAATATAATTTGTTAATATGTTGGCAATTCTCTTTCCTGCAGGCATTCATGTCAATGTTTCAGATTCTCACACAGGAAGGATGGGTGGATGTCATGGATCAGACACTGAATGCTGTAGGACATATGTGGGCTCCAGTAGTTGCTATTTATTTTATACTGTATCATCTTTTTGCTACTCTGGTAAGTTTTCACTCTTAAATATGCTGTGCTTTTGAATTATTCTCATAGCTCTTGTATTACTTAGAATTCTCAGCTAGTTAAAACTAATTGTGGTGCCCATTTTTAGCATAGAGGGCTTTAGGACTAATTCTTTGATGTGGTAGAATTAATTTACCCTTCAGCCATGTGGCATAAAGTGGTGGGCTTTGTTCTGGCATGAGGTGTTGTTCTTCTTAGATCCAAGGAACACTGCTAGACTAACAGTATAATTGTTATCTGTCCTGTACTTTCACAGCTCTAATGATTGCGGAGTTAAGCAAGTGATTTTATTTATCATGTAGAAATGGTCTCCTCTGCTTTCGTTGCATTCTCTTTGCGACAGTAATTAAAGTAAGAAGTGTAAAGCCTTAGGATATAAACTTAACTAGTAATCACTACATTCCTGTTGTCTGATGCAAAATCAATGCACATATATATATGACATAGAATATCAAGCAATAAATGGACGAGAACTAATACAGCAGTTCCTGCACATGTACAGAAATGGGGATTATATCTAAAAGCCCCATTTTTCTGTATACATTTAAAATGGGATTATTACATTCTTTTATAGAGAAAATGGGAAGGAAAACATCTCTTTGGTTATCCTATATCAATAAGGGCTCCGTACTGTATTTTGAATACCAGCACAGAGAAAATACCACAATCAGGGGGACTAACCATTTTATGCTCCCTTAATTCACTCCTACTATTGCTCATTTTGTATTCTCTATTCACTGGATGTTTTGATGCACTTACTCTTATTTTCACTTCCTTCATTCTATTTTCATTCTTTACTCAATTGTCTATGTACATAAGGTATTAAATGTATTTATACAATCTTCATCAGCTTCTATTTACTTCTTTTACTTTACAATATGTCCTGTTTCACTTCTAAAGACTGAATAATCAGACTGTAATTGTAGGTGCAGCAGACAACTTTGCAGAATTACCTGGGCTTATGAAGTTTTTAGTTTCAGTTCTAAGACCTTCCTCAGACCCTGGCAGAGAAAAACTATGTAGGACAGAGTTTTCTGTAGGTAAAAGAAGTTTAAAGAAAGAAAATAACATGGAACTGGTAAGGGAGCATGAAAACAGTTGAGCTGCTACTGAAACCTAAAAGAAGCATTCTAAGAATAAACAGCCATCAGTGAATAACAAGAGTGAAGTTAAATGAAGAAATTACTTTTAACAACTGGAAGAGGGAGGAGGATTAGAATTGAGAAGAGATAATTGCAGGCATTTGGCAAAGCACACTGTAGAGCCTTGGAAAGAAATGAATAGGTTTCACATTAGAAGGCAAAGAAAGTTGAAGCTCAGAAAAAAATCCCACTCTTGGAACCAAGGACTGTTATTAGTTGAGATGGCAACAGAGGAAATTAAACAAATAACAAGTTTACATTTAACTTTGTGGTACATCGTCTTTGGTTCTTGTTGAAAAAAAGAAAAAAGGAGCAAGAAAGTCTTGTCTTGATACATATCAGTGCGTGAATCAGCAAGACTGTAAGGGTTGATATCTTTAATGAGTGCCGTACTTCTTTTTACTATGGAACAGCACTTCCTTAACTGGTATGCTTTGAGCTGCAGGTGCTGGAGTATCATGGAATGTATAACATATCTGAAGAAGGAAAACACCATACTGTAAAATCCTGACAGAATTATAGCAAAACTGTTCATCATTAATTAGGGATCAAAGCAGTTTGTGTGTGACAACCCACCCTTAAGGGGAAGGAAGCACCTAAGATTCATAAATGCTTAATCATCTAAAGGAACGACAAAAGTCAGAGAGTCCACAAACAGTCAGAAAGTTCCACTTGGCACGGAAATTGGTATATTAGTCCCTGACCTGCTATATAAGCACATGGCAGTGGGTTTTGGATAAAGGGGTAGGATAAAAGGGAAGAGAGAAATTAAAGGGGAAGAGATTAATTAAGAAAGAGAGAAAGGAAAAGAGAAAAAGAAAGAGAAAGAGAGTCCTGTTTTCAGTGTCAATCCCACTGGGGGGACGCCAATCCTGGTTTCAGCATTGATCCAGCTGGTAAGTGTCAATCCAGCTGCATCGGTCTGGCCGATGAGATGTCCACGGTCCTGAAGGGTACTGCCTGGGCTTGGGTGGGTACCATTTTATGGACAGGTTTCTCCACCCCAGAGATGGGTTTCTCGCTTTCTATGCTAGTTAGTTATCATGCACAGTCTGTTCTTTCAGGCCTTTCTGGAAATGGGTTGTAGGGCTTTGAGGGACTTTGGTGGTCACAATCCCACCCTGTAGTACATGACCACTTTCTGCCACTCTTGAGCTTTCACTGTACTGTGTTGTGCTTATTTCTCACAGAAAAGCCCCACCCTATCTCTGCCTGCCCCCCTTCTCCAGCCAAATCTTGTTCTTTCCCATGCCATGTTAATACCAGTAGTCCTTGTTTATTGCCAACAATTCATGTCTGTTATTACTAATAGTCATTGGCTGGATCCACAACCATCCAGTTATCAGTGTTTGAGATACACACATTATCCCCTTCTTCTGGGAATCGAGACCTCAAAAGCATCTCACTTTGGACCGCTGTTTGTAGGGTCATTAGAGAGTGGGCTTTAGTTATAGTAATTTTCCATTCTGGCCACAATTTAAGTTGGTAACTTGCTTTGAAAGTTCAACAACAAAAATATTATTCCACTTGAGTTGTTATTCAGGCAAGAAAAATAAGTTTTCAAGGCGGTTCATTAAAAAACAGGTGCTTATTAGACACCTGTTAGTTCCTGGGAACAGATAGTGTTTCTGATGAGCTCAGGAGGGGCTTAGACCTTGTGCAGTTCATCAAGGCTGAGGCCTAATGAGCCTTTCTCAGATCTTAATGTGGGCTGGGGGGAGGCAGAGGAGGTTGCATCACCACAGTCCATCCTGTGACTAAAGTCAGCTTCTCTGGGCCTCCACATTGTGCCAGGTATTATGTATTTTATCAGAATTCTGTCTTGCTTTTCCATTCTGAATGCCATCTTTACTTCCACTGCTGGTTGTAGTTGGATCATTGAAAACTGTGTGAGGTACTCTTTAAGTATGTGGCACATATAATATGTCTGCTAAAGCCACTTTCCTGTTCAAAGAACACATTTTTTTCTGAACACTGACAGTTTTTGAATTTATGGACCAGAGTCCTTCCTGTGTCTCCTGTACCTTTATAGTTCATGGAGGAAAAGAAAATTCTTCCTTGGAATAAGGTCCAGACACTCAACTCTGATGCAGTTTGAGTTCCAAACTCCTTGCTGGCATACTAAGCCACTTAAATTTTATCTTCGATATAGGTGGGACAGGTAAACTTGCACTTCATTTATAGTAGTGCTGAAATGATATGTCTGCTCTGGTTGTCACTCAGGAGTCCAAGACTACAGAAATATTCTAGGCCTGTAACTCTTTTAAAAAAAGTGCTAAGATTCCTACCTTAGTTGAAAACTACCTTAGCTTTACAAGCTGTTTTAGGATTTTGCTTTGTGGGTTTTTTAATTATTATTTCAGATTAATTTAATTTTCTTTGAAAGTGAAGTACATTTTAATAAGTATATTGCATTAGTCATCAAACCTAGAATTCAACATTTTTAAACTCATATTAATTTTGTGGTAAAATAAAAATCAATTTAGTACTTTCAAAATGGCTAGGAGATATATAGTAGCTAGGAGATATTAGTTCAACAGATGTCAAAGGCAAGAATCCAGTTTTTATCCGTAGGGCCATCATTTTTCCGTGTCATTTAATAGTACTTCTTAAATAAAAATAAAATAAAGTCAACTTTAACAAATCATTTACAATTGTTTTGTAGATTCTACTCAGCTTGTTCGTTGCTGTTATTTTGGACAACTTGGAACTCGATGAAGATCTAAAGAAACTTAAACAAGTAAGAACATATTTTTGTTGTGCTTGGAAGTAGTTTCAATAAAGCATTACTTTACTGGTATTTTATGTGGTAAAATAATATATGAGGGAAAAAATTAAAATATTGTAAAAGAGATTTAGAAATTGGTTGAAATATTCAATGAAAGTCAATTCAGATACTCAGATAATTAAAATAATTTAAAAATCACACCTAGGTCATCTTTTTGCTTTTAAACTAGTGAAAACTGTCCCTGCCCATGCTTTATGAGCACAGCACAGCTCCACTGCAGGGGATAGTACTGACAAGGCTCCAGAGACAGGAAGGCATAGAGTGATAGGGTCAATGTGTTAGGGGAGGGATAAAGAGGCTTGGCAAAGTTGTCTTGCTTGTTTGGTTCTCCACATCTGGGGACCAAGAAGTCATTTTCTCATGCTTGAAACCCCAAATTTCAATCACATAAAACAAATTAAACTAGAGAGTTCACACTGGCTTTTCTGACCTTGGGGACAAATGACCAGAGAGGAAGGTGTCTGTAGCTTTTACATAAATCTATGGCTGTGCTTTAATTTGCACAAAGAGGAGCAGAGCCATCAACGTTTCATGCACGAAATATCATGAGTTGACACATGGGAACCTCTTTTGTAATATTGGGCTTACAGCCTTCTTTCACCCATCATTTGCTAGTTTTGTTCATTTTAAATGTGCATCAACAATTGTCAAAGAATTACGTTTTTTCAATTCTTGAATATTAATCACTCAGCCAATTGAGATATTTAACACTGAATTCTTACATGAAAATGTTATATACTTGTGTTAAATTCATCTTTATAGAATTCAATACAGAAATCAATATGGTTTTTGTGGTTGCAGTATTAAATTTCAGTATGTATTGCAAACTTCAAATAAGTTAAAAGACCAAGTATTTTCTGCCACAAAGAAATACAAATACTGGATTTCAGTTAATCAGCTCATATAAGTGACAGATCTTACAGATGATTTTGAGATGGCCTGACAGTCTTGAGTATGCAAACCAAGTAGGCCAAATCAAGTGCATTCATGTTTCTCTTTACCAGTCTCAAGATGTAAAATGATCTGAAATGAAAATGGCTCAGATGTATGACAAACAATGTTATATCATCCTGATACCCTTACAGGAAATTTTTCAAAATCTCTGCATGAGGTAGAAACACAAATCAACTTTCCTGGGTGAAGAGCTTATGATATGAAATCCAGTGGTTTTTCCATGAAACATAGCATCTCTGATTCATAAACCACTTTAATAGTCTACATTTTTGCATAGCTTTGTGCTTTAGCAGCTTGCTCTGGAACTGGTGAACAAAAAGCAATGATGAGAGGCCACCACATGCAATACTTGTCACTGTGTCAGTCTGAAATCTTGTTAACCTAGCAGGAATTCCGCCTCTGTAATAGCAATAAACCACACTCCAGTGAAAAACATAAATAGAATTTTTGAATGAGTCTTTCAACTTCATAGACTGCAGAGCATAACTACATGAGTATGGTGCTGGACCAGAATAAAACCACTTCCTCAGTCACCAGACCTTCCAGCTACCATGCCACTGACAGGCTGTTTCTGTGACCCAAGTGGTCATTTAACCAGAGCACAGCACTCTGCTATTGGGCACAGCAGTTTGGTTGACTGGCATAATGGTATATGCATTATACACCATTTTGATGTATAAAAATATCCAAGGTGGCTGACAGTGGTTCACTTGTACTTACACTTTTGAAATGTTCTTTTAAACAGTCACCTCTCTTCAGTACTTCAGTACTGCATTTCCTTCTGGTATTTTAAAACAAATTAATGTTATATGAAGTGTTGCATATTTTAAAAATTACTAAGGTGAAAGGGGGTAAGAGTTTGGTTCTTGGAGCTGCACAATATAAAGTTAGTGGAATGAATGTACAACTGATTAAATATCTAGAACAAAAAAGGTTTCCTGTGGGTTAAATGCAATGCACAGGCTCAGTGCTGACTGTGGTCTAGTACGCTGAAATATTGGTTGCCTTGTCTCAAGAAGATAAAGTAAAAAGAGTTTTTAATTCAATGATATTTTGAATTCTCCACTAAAAATGGACTGTTAGAAGAAGAAGGATTGTAAGGTAATTGTTATGTTTCAATCAAGAGTATTTCTATAAATAAATAAATCTGTATTGCTGCACAGGAAAATTTTTGACATCTATAATTAAAAGATAAATGATGTTCCAAAGGAGGAGTCAAGTAATTCAAATTGTAATTCAAATGTAAAAGACCTTGATTGGTTGAAAATGGTGAAACTGTAATGCTCTACAAAATATTTCCATCCTCATGGGTCTATTTTTTTTCCCTACCTTTACTGGCTGTAAAGGTCAAGGCGTAAACCTCAAGGCACAGGGCATTTTCAGATGATGAAATACTGAATGTTTTTGAAGGAAGGAAGGAGAATGTATTTAGACCAGAAATCACATCTAGCTAGTAATCCCTTTTGGAATGTGTTCTTCTTAACTATCACTGAATTTCTTTTCTGAAACTTGATAAGATGTATTTTATTACTTATCTTTCAGATTATTGGGGAAAGGACTAATTAGTTAATATTTGCAAAATGTAAAATGATATGTAAACACTTGGTATTCATGTTGCTTCAGTAAATATGTTTAAATATGAATAAATCAAAGCATTAAATGACTCAGAGAATCTAAATAAGATTGTAAAATAATGTATTTAAAAGCAAGTAAACTTTTAGAATTAAATTTGCCAGTGCAAATTTAGTTAAGGATATGCATCATGATTCAGTTTTTAATTACATCATTACATAATATTCTTTCCAAAGGTCTGGCCTCATTTAGTGCAAGGAGTAGATAGAGTTCATTTTAATAAACCACTAGTCGATATTTTTTCTCTTTATTGTACAGTGTGATCATGTGCTTTATTTATTGCCCAGTATTCAAGCTTTGATAAAACTATTAATCTCCTTTCTGACTTTTTTATGGTACCCCTCATAAGTATGTACAATGAACATAAAATTTGTAAAATATTTAATTTGAGTGATTTACTTAGCAGAAAAAGCACACATAGGAGTAGAATCTGTTTTTCCAAGACACCATTCAGCTGGTTTAAGAACAGAATAATTCTTTGTATTTTTACAGCTCTGTTCATTTGCAATACATCTCTCATCCTCTGCCACGTCCCATCCTCTCGTCTGTCTGCCATGATAGCTTGAGTGAGAAGGGTTTGTACTGTCGCTAAGAGTCACCATCTCTCTGTGCATTAAACTTGATCCTCTGCAGCAATTCAGACTGACCCTAACACACTACTTGAGCTCTAGGTATGTCGTTGATCTTGCTCATCATCCTGTGAGGTCCTTTTCTTTGGTGATTGGTACATCGGTTATGCGGGTGATATTGATCTTAGGCACAAGAAATCTCTCAGCTACAATACTGACTTCCTTCTCTTTTATGCCTCTCTCTATAAACTATTGCTCCAAAGTTAAAAAGAAACTGAGAGGACTTCTTGGATTTCTTTTGCCTTTTGTGATAAAGTGACAACTTTCTTTTTTAGAAATTCATCACTCTTCACAGCATTTGAAGCATGACTTTCCCTTACAGCAGCTGCATTAACTTTTCACATCATATTTTCCACATATTTACTAATTGTAGTATTAATACATTTCTATCAAATTGCCTAAATGTGAAGTCAGACTGATTAGTTTCTCATTTTCTGAGCGCTCTATCCTGAATCCCTTTTGTAACATTAGTCACATTTACCACTTTCCTTTCTCTCACTCCAAAGTTTATTTAGGTGACAAATTATTTACCACTGCTGTATGTCAGCCTTGTTGTATCTGAGATCCTTTGAAGTCTTGAGAGTGTGTTAACAGGTGTTGGAGAGGGACAAGTTGAATTTGTGTCAAGTGTCTTCCAAAAGCTTTTCTCATGACAGTTTTGTAGAAGATCAGTCTTTGGCATTGTTTAAGGTCTCCTTTGACCTCGTCTGTGGTCAACACTATTTATTTTTCTTTCTTGCTTTGGTTTTATTTTACAGAACACACTTGATTAATAGCATGTTGCTCTTTTAGACTTGCTGCTTTCTTTATGTTCTTAAAAGCTTTCTTTTTAGATTTTATTTCCTTAGAAAGTAGTTTCTCAATTTCTTTAGAAAGTAGTTTCTCTATATCTTTCATGATCTGCCATTGTTTTTATACCAAAAAATTGCTAGTACTTATGCTTTTTTTTCTCTATTCTTTGCTTAGCATATGGATTCCCTTTCTGAAACATATCCATTTACTTTTATAAGTCTTCTTTGCAGTCCAGTTGACACTGCTGGACTTCTTGACTTTTTTGGAGTTTTTCTGTAGTTGGTAGATGTGCTCTGTCCTTCTAAAAAAGGATATTTAAAGTTACTCCATACACCTCCTTCCCAGTTTCTGTCATTTGGCCTTTCCTTTAAAATTCTTTTCAAAAGTCTTATGATTTTAAGTAATTAATTTTTTTTTCATTTAAATTCAGCGTTGTAGATGGATTTGACCTTTTACTTGTAAACTAAAATCTGAATTTAAGATCATATTTCTTACTGTTATGGAATAGCTTTTTGATATTTATGTCATGAACTAGATCTTGTTCAGTACTAAACCATAATCTGCTTCTTCACTTAGGTGTTCTCTGGCTGCATAATTCAGCAAGGATTCATGCATGAGTAGAAAGTTCATTTCTTTCTTCTACCCTTTCCTAAACATACATGAGGATAAACAAAGGCTTCCCACTATTATTACTGCTTGTCTTTAGGCCTTGAATACTACTTTGCATATTGAAGTTACTTTCTAATCCTCATTTACGGTGGCAGAATATTTCTTCCAGTTTGGCACACAGTTTCAATGCAGAGTGATCCTGTGCTGTTTATATATGCATTTACCTTATTTACTTCTTTGACTGTAGAATTTCTGTGTAGAATAACACCAGTCTTTCATTGATGCCATGTACTGTTAATCTAGATAATATGTTGCCTGTTCTGCATATTCTCATTC